TGTTCATCTCACAGTGAAGAGGCAATTCAGATTAATCACATGGAACCCACAGAGCAGTGTTTCACTGGCTACTGGAGAGGGCTGGGCTCTCTCATGTTGATTCTACCAACTCTTTCCGTTTTCACCTGCATTAAATAGGGCTTTGTGAGGGTGATACAGAGACATATATGTACACACAGATATGTACACACACACACACACACACACACACACACACACAGAGAGAGAGAGAGAGAGAGAGAGAGAGAGAGAGAGAGAGAGTTTGGTAAATCTCTCCCAAGGTTAACTGTGAGTATTGTCTGTAGAGATAGGAAAGAATAGAGTTGTTCCTCTTTGTGAGGGTGGCCAGGGACAGGATGACTTCTTGAGGGACTTGGTAGAACATCAAGGGGTGGGGATCAGGGTTGCTGACATCAGTGCCCTTCCTCTCTTGGGTTCATATTGCTTCAGGCAGCTTCAAACCCTTGTAGTTTCTCTGGGGTATAGAAGTCTCAAGGGATGCTTACTCTGAAGAGATGGACAAGAACAAGCAACTCCTCCCTCAGAACAGATCGTAAAAACCATCATACTGCTTACCTGTAGCTGTGATGAGAAAGAGGAAGAGAGAGACAGAGAGAGAGAGACAGAGACAGAGAGAGAGACAGAGAGAGAGAGACGAGACAGAGAGAGAGACAGAGAGACAGAGCACTCTGCAATGCCAATTTATTGGTGACAAAAGTATCCAGGAGCACTGGGAGAGTAAACATGTCAAACAGAGAGCCTGGCTTTACAAGATCCAGCAACTTCTCACATGAAGTGGACAGTCTCCCACTGAAATCCTTGGAGGCTGTGCCAAGTTCATTATGTCCCCCAAACCTTCAGGGGGAGAATCCTCAGAATATGACTTTCTTTTGTAATAGGGTCTTCACAGGTGAAATTAGTTTAGTAAGGATGAGGTTGTAGTGGGTTGAGATGGACCCTATCCTCATGATGGACATCTTAATAAAAAGAGGAACATTTGGGTGGAGAAGATGATACAGCGATGATGGCTGTATGAAGACAGAGACTCAACTAATGTGATGTACCCACAGACTAAGGAATGCCAACAGTTGATGGCAGCCTTAGTTAATTATAAAAGTGCAAAGAAAGATTTGTCCCTAGATCTTTTGGAGGGAGAAAAGTACTGTTGTCCTCTTGATCTTTGGACTTGCAGCTTCCAGATTAGTTTCATGTCTTAAGACACCCTATTTGTGGTGTGTTTTGATGGTGGCCCTAAGAAATGAACGCAAAGGCTAACTGGTGGTGTTTTCTGTGACTCTCCTAGTGTCTGTGGTGTGCTTCTCTCACATGGTGCTGAACTCTGATTTGTTTCAGCAACAGCCCAGTCCCGGATAGAAGTCTCCATTCAAAAGTCCCTTTTCAGGGATGCACCCTTGAAATCAGAACATTATGGCTGCCTAAACAAGACTTGCATGTACAACTACAACATCAGTTGACGTTCCAGTGTTAATGGGGAAAATTTTAACAGGATCCCACCCCTAGAAGAAGAGCTACAGGCAGTTCAGAGCTGCCGAGAGAGGGAGAGGCAGCTGCCTCCCTGGATAAATTTTCTGGTAGATGATTTAATCCTAAATGGTTGGCACTAAACACATAACATACAAGAATCACTAAATGGACATAGCAGACTTTATGTATATTGTAGCAATAATTAAAAAAGAAGTGTTGATAAGCTCGAGAGGGAGTGGGGACATGGGAGGAGTTGGAAGGAAGAGAAGATGGGGTACAGATAACATAAATGGCATAAATATTATACTCATGTAAACAAAACAACAGCAAGTCTCCATTCCATAAAAGAAAGGTACTGCTGATTACAGACAAGCCACCACTGGGTCTGTTCCCAGTCCCTGGGACTTACATGTCTTGCCTCCCATCTGTGCTCCATTTTACCCTCATTCTTGCAGGTCTTATGGTTCATTCACACAGACCTTAAAGATCTCTGGTCCCTAATGATGCTCCACTTTTATCCAAAGTGGTGGTAGTTTGAATGAGAATGGCCCCACAGGCTCGTGTGCTTGAATCCTTGGTTCCAGTTAGTGGAATTTCTTGGTAAGAATTAGGTATGACTTTGTTGGAGGAGGTGTGTCACTGGGAGTGGGCTTTGAGGTTTTAAATGCCCACACTATTTGCAGTTAGTGTTCTCTCTCTGTCTCTCTCTGATGCTGGAAAGCTGTTTCCCGAGTCTCCTGGTGCATTGCTCTTGCTCTTCCAGCCCCCAGAAGTGTAAGAACATACAATTCAAAAGTTTAAGCCACCCAGTCTATGGTAATGTGTTATAGTAGCCTGGACTGTCTTCCTATCATCTTAATCCAACTGCCCTCATTTTCCCTCCCTCGTAACTATTCACATATCTAAAAGCTTTTTTAATTGGTAAACTTTTTTTTATATAAAAGGTCCAACAATAAAGATTTTAGATTTTCTGGGCCATGACTGCTACCTCTTGTGGTAGTAGTAACTGATAGTATTTGAACAAATGGGTGCGGCTATATTCCAATAAACCGTTATCATTCGACACTTAAATTTGAATACTGCACCATTTTGCCTGCAATGAAATACTATTCCTCTGATGTTCCAATGAGGCAAAACCCACTGAGTTTGAGGCAGACACACAAAACAGACAGGGGCTATATTTTGCTATCTCCTGAGAAACTTTCTCTCTCTTCTTCAAGGCAGTCTTTGCATTATGATATTCTATTGTAGACAGTCATCAAACAAGTATTGAGCACTTATGATGGCCAGAAAGCAAACCTGTATCAGATGCTGTGATAGTCTCTGAAAAAGAAGTGATCTCTGGCCATAAGACTGGGCAGAATTGGAGCTAGTTCTGGGACTTCTTTTCACAAATCCATGGCAATCTTAAGTCACAGAGATGTGTGCTTCCATCTAAACATCTTTTGAGTATTTTGTTCCTGTTACATGCTCAGTGCACAGTGGAACTGAAGACTCAGCTTAGCATGTTCTGATTGCCTGCTGGCCCTTTTCTTTCTTTCTTCCTTCCTTTCTCCTTTCTTCCTTTCTCCTTTCTTTCTTTCTTTCTTTCTTTCTTTCTTTCTTTCTTTCTTTCTTTCTTTCTTTCTTTGAGTCTCTTTTATGTCTCATGACTTTCTGTTCTTCTGGAGTTCATGGGAGCACAATACTTGTTTGATGAGTCACCATGATGGTAGGAAGTAGAAAATTTCCAGGGGCTACCAAAGGCATGTGCCACCTCCTCCCAGCCATTGATAAAATTTTATTGGAACACAGGAAGTAGACACTACATTCTCTTACTAAGATCATTGACCTGTTTATTGAAGAACCACAGGTTTTTAATTTATAGGTGACTCCCAAACTACTTCTACAGCAGTTTACATCCCAACTCATGAACACTAAGAGAGTTGCAGGACTTCTGTTGGTCATTTTCTTCATCTGCACAGTGCAGAGACATTCTGAAATGGTCCCAGGGGAGCTTATGTTGCCTGTGTGGGAGGGGGGAGCAGTGCAGTTTAGTGGGGGAATCCAGATTTCATATGATAATAAAGAACAAGGAAAGTCAAATGGCAGCATTCGGTCTGCCACATGAGCTCCAACCAGATGCTCTAGGGCCTGCAGGCTGTAGGTGCATGAAGTGAGCCTGTGGTACCCCAAGTTTACAGACAAGATTTCTGCCAGGAAGCAACTTGCCTAAGAGTGGGTGGAGCCTTGAGCACTTTCTTTATCAGCTTGCCTGTAAAAGCTCCAAAGCAAGGGATATGAGAAAGGGCCTCAGACCTGCTCTCAGAACATTTCCAGCAAAGCCAGGAGTCGTCACTAGCTGGGTGAATACTGACATTTTAAAAGCAGGAAGTAAAATAAAAAGAATCTGGATTCTTTTTACTTAAAATATGGTCGTCAGATCAGCAGCTGCAGGGTGATAGGTGTTTCTAGGGCCTGTGCTAGACCTTGCATGGCATGAACCATTTGGAGTTGAATTATCAGAAGTGTATCTCAGAATACCCAGGGAACTCTCACCAGGCTGATGGAGACCTAGGGTCTATCCAATACTCCCCATCCCCTTCTTCTGTGGTTTGTGTTAAGTCCTAATTTCTCCCTGGGTCATTTTCCTTCTGTAAAATGCCCAAATCAGTCATTTTCAATCTTAACTGCCCATTGTTACTGCCTGGAGAGGCTTTTTAAATGGTTCTGATATCTGAGGGCCCACAGCCAGAAAATCTGTGTCAAATGATAAATTTCCCACATCATTGTAATTGGTCCCTGACTTCTGAAGATTGGGCATACAGTTTTGACTTTATGATGGTGTGAAAGTGATATATTCAGTAAAAAACACACCTTCTTCAATTTTGATCTTTTTACAAGTCAATGATATGTGATATGGTACTCTACTCTCTTGTCAAAGGAAATGAAAAATGTTTGGAGGGGCCTGTGTGACTAAGCTAGCATGTTTGGTAGATAGTGTGTGTGGAATATACCTGAATTTACAAGAGTTCATCTAGCTCTACCATCATTAGCCTCTGTATCCTGTAGGCAGTGTTGTGAGCCAGGGAGCCACATCCCTGTTCTCTGACCTAAGGGCACATCAACCCCTGGCTGTGTGATCCTTAGATATTCAGAATTGTGGGCACAGCTACAGCTTTGGATTTATTCAGTGAGTCAAGCATCTGCCTCCAAGAGATGATGATGACTGCAAACAATGCTATAGTTAAACAAGGAGTGAAGAAAATGCAAATGCTCCACCAAGTTTCTCTACCAGTTTCAATGTGTGATTTAGAAGTCAGCATTTCCCAGCATGTAATAAGGCTGAGAATTAGTGTGTTCAGTAGGCTTCATACATGATGCAAGAACAGCTTGGGAAACCCTAGAATCTGGCCTCAGAGGTCTTTCAGCTCTCATTCTGAGGTCCCCCAGGGCAATGATTCAGTTCTTTCTCCCCATGCTGGAGCCACTTGTTGACGGTAAGCTTGGGAGGCGTCACCATTTGTAAGCTCAGCTTCAGTGTCCCCTGAGAGAGCAGCCAGCTGGCAGCAGTGCAGAAAGCAGTAAACACATTGACTTTCTCTATTGGCAGTGCTACGTCCATGACGTTCAAGAAGACTGGGTCTCTGTGTCGAGGTAGCAGAGCCACTGTGACTTTGCATCAAGCTCAAGAGTAGGCCCGATTCCTGCTGTTTGCTGTCTATGTTGGCCTAAAGGTAGGTACTAGCCAGAGGCAGCTGTTGCCTGGACCCCAGTTCCAATCCTGGAACAGGAAAATTGTCTTTAGAGACTGTCCCTTGAAGTTAGCTTTTCAAAAGACTGGATGGCCACCTTGATGTTGGAAGAATCTAGAGCTAGAATAAAAAACAGAGATTAGCAGATGTGAGATAGGCTCCCAGGCTGAGTTCTGACCCTGACCGGACTTTGAGAGATCATGCTGGTGCCTTCTCTTCTCCATGTAGCAACTTAGTGGCCTTGGAATTCATTATGCGCAATGGAGTGTCAGTTGCTTATTGCTGATGGATGATTTCAAATGTGGAGAAAGATTTATTCAGTAGGTTAAGCATAAACCTCTAAGAGACGACTGTGAGTGAAAACAATTACATGGTTAAACAAGAAAATTTAAACATACCTTCCCAGTTCCCTATCAGTTTAGCTGCGTGGTTTGAAAGGTTGTGGGGATTTGGTTCAGTGAATCAAGTTCTTCCCCCCTCCCCTGTCTGGCAGCAATTTCAATATGCTAGCGATGGGGGTGTATAAAACAAGGGAGAGGGACATGAGTTTGGTGGCCTCGTGCAGTCCCCAGGGTTGGGTTTCTTGGTATTTAGTGTGTTGTCCTTGTGGGCAGGAGTCAGGAATACTTTGCTGACAGAGTCCAGAGCCTCACAGCTGGGAGGACCTTCAGAAGACATCTGGCCAGCTTCCTTGTGACACTGAAGTCTGGATCAGGAAAGGCTCATTCAGGGGTCCATTGCAGGGCCTCGAGCCAAGCTTCTCCACTGTCCTTTCTATGAAGTGGAAATACTAACAGTGGCTCACTGAGCTGTGCCAGGGATGGAAAGGATATATATTTAGTCCCTGGAAAGGTGGGGAAGGGTTGGCTGTGAACTTCCCTACGTTCATTTTGTGAGGAACCCACCTCCGTTACCATTTTACCAGCTGTGCCTACCACTAGCTGAGGTTCCCGGGGCCCTGTCCCCCACTGGTTTCAGCACAGGCACAGGCACAGGCACAGGCAGACACAGACCCTGACATTTTCTTTGAGATAGTGACAGCTGGTGAGACTTTTGACTAAAGGTATAAAGAGCAAGCAGCAAAAAAACAGTTACTGTGTTAAAAGTGGTTTAAAAATGTGCGGCGCCATCTGTTTGGCCACGGAGGTTTTGTGGGGCATGCGTGGGGAGGGGGGAGGCCTCATCTCCCACTTCTGGGTCTCACCTCGGTCAGGGCCAACAAAGAGAAACTTTGCCAAGTCTGCAATTTCTGTCTTCTTCTTATCCCAGTCTCTCTTTCTGCTCCCCACTCTCTTCATCTTGTTTTCTGAAAAGACATTTTTCTCAACTTCCTTATCAGCTAATGAAATACCAAAACGGAAAAGCGTGTGGATTGGTTCAAAGGTGGGCTTTTGTTTTCGTTTTTGGTTATGTAAGCAGGTACGCTCTTCTAACAGAAAGAGGACTGAGGAGGATTGTGTTTTCGCTAAGTACAGAGCTCTGAGGTAGATCGCTTGCGGTATGCACAAAGCCCTCCCTGGGTTCAAATCCTAGCACTGAAAAAAGAGAGGCAGTCAGACTTTACTCCGTATTTTCTTTCCCATCTTAAAGCACCCCACACCATTCTGCTGACATTTCTTATTAAACTCATCTCTCATGTTTTTCAGTTTTGTTTTCTTCGTTAAAAGATTACAGCAACATACATTCTGATTAGTTACTTCCGGGTTACACAATGACTATTAATGTCGTGTGCTGGTTTGATGCATACTTCTCTCGATGAATCCATGTTTAATTACAGGAGTGTTTTGGTTCTTGTGTGTTTTTGATGTAAGTCACTGTATTGATTGCAAATATTCACAGTTCTGGCTGTTTCTGTTCAGTGCCGAGTTTCTTTCCTTCTCTTGTCTGTCAGTGGACAAGCTTTGAGTACAACATTAAAAGGTAGCAGTTTTGCCAACTGTGTGATTTGTGCTGGGGCAAACAAACATTACATTTATTGTCTGTTTTAATAAAAAAAGGTGTTAAGTTTTTAACAAATTTCAGCTTGTTAAAATCATTCCTGGAGATGATTTTAGTCTATTGGGTCACATGGGCTTTTTTTTTTTTTTAATTTTGAACTAGCCTTACAATTCTGTCACTAATAAACTGCTGGTTTTGATTTTCCGATGTTTTATGTAGGAGTTTTGTATATTTATTCCTAAATAAAATGGTCCCTTCCATTCCATTTCCAGTTTTTCTAGTCCAATTTTGGTTCTGGACTGTGCTAGCCTTATACAATGAACCAGACGACCTCTGTCTCCCAGGTGGAGTGCAGTGCATGGGATTATAGATTTCTTGGATGTTTGGTAGAAAGTGACCATTAACTTTTTCACATCTGTATACTTTTGCACAGGTTGGGGGTAGGTAGATCTTTATTTTTTTTCCATCTCTTTGATTAGTTGTTCTTCCATGGTGGTCTTCTTTTCTAGTCTTCTTGATTTACTGTTTCCCAGAAAGATTTCAATTTGACTACTTTTGAAATGATTTTGTGTAAATTAGTATGCACTTACTCGTCAATTTAAAAAAAAAATATTTTGAACCCCCAGAGTTCCCTAGGGCTATTGCCATTGCTGTTGGTTGCCAATAAAAACAATGGTACAACCCCATTGCCGAAGACACCATATGATTTCTGCAGAGACTCTTAACTGGCCAGAGTGCTAGAGTAAGAGATTGTTGAATGCTCTGTCCACAGTGGGGCATCTGTATCAAATCGATCAAGAACTAGGGACCATCACAAAAAAAAGACTGTTACAGCTGGAGGACGGGGAAAAGAATTGTGAAACACTATCTGCTGAATATGATGGGGTCATTGCAACCATCAACACACACACAGAGCAGCTGTGGCTACTAGTTCAAGACCTAACACACGCACGCACGCACGCACGCACGCACGCACGCACACATGCACATATGTACATACACTTTCAGGTGTGGAGACGTAAAAGTGGGAGGGGACTGATTGGGAAGGAGGAGGAGGAAGTCAGCAGCTGTGGGAAGGAGGTGAGGTTATGGTCATTAGGATCATGATTCATGGTATACGTGTATGAAACTCTCAACAAGTTGTAAAATTGGTAGTGGGGATAGCTTAACAAATGAAGGGATGGGAAGATGACGATGCAAATAAAGTCTTTGCCTAGCAAGTATGACAATTGGAATTTAGGTTGCTAGAACCCATGGAAAAGCCAGTGAGTTTGATGACCTGCCTGTGCTTCTAGCGTGTGGAAGACAGACAGATACATGGAATCCCCAAGCCATAGTGGTTCTCAACCTTCTTAATGCTGCGATCCTTTAACACAGTTCCTCATGTTGTGGTGACCCCCAACCACAAAATTATTTTTTTTGCTACTTCATAACTGTAATTTTGTTACTGTTATGAATTATAATGTAGATATTTGATATAAAAATCATAATGTAAATATGTGCCCCCTGTGAAAGGATTGTTTGGCCCCCAAAGGGATTGTGACCCACAGGTTGAGAATCACTGCCCTAGGACAATCTGGCTAGTCAGACTGGCAGAGACACAAGCTCCAAGTCTATCAGAAGACCAAATCTAAGTGTATGAGGTGCTAAGTGATTGAGGAAGATGCTCACAAAAACCTTAGGTCTCCACATGTATACTCACACACGTGCAACCCACACACATGAATGTGGATATACCACATACACACATATATACAATCCTAAGCTATACATTGAAGTGTGTAAATGGGCAAGTAGTACACTATATGAATTTTAAATAAAAATGAACCCTTCAAAAGTTAAAAAATTGTCCATTATACCCCTTTACTTCATCTAAATGTTGTTTACATTATTATACTCCTCCCTATTTCTACTCTTAGTCTTTCATAAGTTGAATTTACTGAATTTATTGATATTTTCAAAGAACCAGCTTTTAGTTGTATTGTACTTTTTTATTTTATAGCTAGCTGATTTCTGCATATTTATTATTCTTTCCCTCCAATTTCACTAGGATTATTTATTTTCCTCTAACTTCTTGAATTAAAAAGAAAAGAATTTACTTTAATTGTTTTCAATTATCTTTTCCCCCAAAAAAGTTTAAGGCCAAGTTTTCTTGGCTTAGTATATGCCACGCTTTTTGGTACATGATGTCTCCTTGCTATTCCTTTCTAGATAGGAGCATTATTTTTTCTTTGTTAACTAGGAATTGCTTTAAAAGATATTAAACAGTGTAAAGTTCATAGGTTGGCTAGCTATGTGCTATATTTTCTCCTTTCCATCACAGGAGGCAATGTATCTGACTGCTTCTGTATGGGATTTGTTTACATATCTTTTGTCACTTGCATATGAGGGAAGTTTTTTCTCCTGCAGCACTGGCAACAGAACCCAGGGCCTTGAACAGGTTAGGCAGGTGCTCTGCCACTGAGCTACACCCCAGGCTCTTGGTCACAGTTACAAGGTATGATCTGTATACTCTTCAGGTCTCCTCTTTCTGTACATACATCTGTTTGATGTGGTAATTCTGAGACCTGGAGAATAAAACACATAGCCATGATGGGAAATCATCCCTTTCTCCTCATGCATGTTTGAGTTTTTACTTTATACATTAAGGCATGTTTTCAGGTGGATAAAAGTTGAGACATCTTCATGGGTATTACATATCCTTTGCGTGTCCGTTTTGTGGTGCTGGGGATTGAACTCAGGGCTTTGTTCATGCTGGCCAAGCACCTTATCACTGAACCGCTAGATACTGTATTTCATTGGCTTAAAACAGCTTTCCCCTTGTTTCCTTTCATCGTTCTTTACCTTAACCTGTGTTATTCCTTCTCAGAGTATGCTGTTTTTATTAGAATTGGCTTAACATACATTGTCTGCTATTTGTTTTAGTGCCCTTGTGCCATTTGCTTTACACGTGACTAATACGCCACAGGTAGCTATATTTTATGTTAAAATTCTAATTTGAGAATCTCTGTCATTCAGTAGGGATTTCTACTCATTCACACCTG